CATTCATTAGTTTTTACATTACAGATGATGTGGGTTTGCTGGTGGAAGTTGGTCTGGACTATATCAGTCAGGATGGGCTGGGTTATGCTGCAGTAACAAACAGTTCCAAAATCTCAGTGGCTTAAAATAGCCAAGGCTTACTTCTCTCTCTTGCTCCGTGTCCATGCGGAGCCTGCTGGGGCCTCTGCTCTGTGTCTCCTAACTGCGGGTCCAGGAGGATAAATTAGCCACTTTCTTAAACTGTGCCAGTTACCATGGCCAACGGAGAGTTCGTGAAGGGCGTCATGTGGATATTTAAATGGCTGCGTGTGACGACAAAGGTAAACGATGGGTCCAGACCTCAGCAGCAATAACATGCAGGGTTTGACCATGAACTTGGCTTCACTAAGCCCATCAGTGGCTGAGTGGCTCTCTACGTCAACACAAGGTTAAAACTAACAAAGTAATAAAAACAAAGTTATGCATATGGTTAAGTCTGGATGCTTATTAATCAAAATTTCTGCCCAATAACATACTACACCTGAATATATGAGGATCTTGTATCAAGACCATGTTATTAACTATTAGCCAGTGAGGGCCTACTGTGTACCAGGCCTGGATACATGATCTCTAATTTTTGTGACAACAACAGGTGGGTGTTGATAGCATCCCCATTTTACAGATGGGCAAACAGAGGCTCAGATCAGTTCGTGGGCTGCCCTAGGTCACACCGCCGATAAGCAAAGGGGTTTGATGCAAACCCAACCCAGATTCTAAACATCTCTTTTCTCTATATTCCACCAGGTTGCCTCTCTCGCTAGACATCCTTTAGTAACAATAACCCGAAATGACAATGTGTTAAAAACACTGCGGCCCGAGATGTTATCTAAGATGCATCTTTTCGGGGGGGAGGCGGCGACAGCATTGATCGGTGCTGAGGACTCCTGCTTCTCAAGGTCCTGCTTTCCTCTGTGTATGTGGATCCGGCCGGTCACTCGAGAGGCTGGGAAACGTCAAGAAGAAACGAAAGGAAGCGGCTGAGATCACACGTGCAGATGTGGCCGAGGCAGCACAGACAACACAGGCCGCCTCGAGCAGCTCAGGCTGCTGTTCACCAAGAAGCGCCCGGGCTCTTTGGACGAATACATGGAAGCAAGAAGAAAAAGGGCCGCGCCGTGGACATGACCAAGGACCAACGACCTGTCTTCCCCACATGGGCGCAGTGTCTGAATGAGGCCCTGTGCTCAGTCTTCGGGCTCTGGAATGCCCTTGCTTAAGGCTGGAGACCTTGGAGTGGAAGGTTGCAAGGTTGCCAAGGCAACCCACAGACCGACTTCTCATCTCCGGCCGCTCCCTGCCCCCGCCTCCTAGCCTGGTTTAGCCACACCTGATGGGCCGCTCACTAGATTTGACCTGACCCCTCTGAATATTGCCTATATTCTAACATTTGGTTGAGGGCAGTTTCAAATGTTTTAAATGGCCTTATTCTATACTTAGAAGAACAAATTTCCTATCCACTCCTTTCTTCCTTCTTCCTTTCTTTCTTTTTTTTATCTCTCTATCATACATTTACCGAGAGCCTAATGTTCCAGGCACCGTTCTGGGTGCTGGGAATGATGATGAGGAACAAAAACCTACACTCTCTTCCCTCATAAATTTAAAAGTAAGTGGAGGGGTGAGGTGGGGGGGAGAGGGGGAGACAGGTTAATCGAATAACCTCCCAAGCCAAATGTAAATTCGTGACCACCACATGAATTAAAGTTTGCTCAGGGCCAGGCATGATAAATGGATTGCCAAAATGGTGCTTACTCCTCCCCACGTCCCTGAGGAGGCAAAGCTCAGGTGATGCAACATTCCCCAAGTCACACTGCCCCAACGGACAGAGCTGGGATTCCAACCCAGCACCACCCACGCGAAATTCCCACGCACTTGCTGCTGCTTCATGTCTCCCATGGCAACCACGGGCCTCATGTCTTTCCAGTTCCTGCCCTTTCTCCTTCCAGATCGGGGTTTGGGCTGTGGTGGTTTCATCCCTTTACGTTCTCTTTGACATAAAATATTCCAGCACCTTAACATGTGCAATTCCCTGGGATGAGGCAACTTGTCACGGATTTAATACTGACATCCAACAAAGATTTTTTTTTTCTTTCCCTGAAAATGAGATGACTACCCCTGGGCAAAAGTTAAAACAACATTCTGCATAGAAATTTCTAAAGGTCCTGAATTACTAATGCAGTAATGGCGCCCCCTGGCGACCATTATTGTGTATTACACAATGATGAAAGGGAGGAGTGCACGTGGGATGCAGTGGTGGTTTCCTATCCGAGTTGGGATGAATAATACCGCCCCCCCCCCCCTCCAGTCTTAATCACCTTTACGCCTCGTCTCCCACCCGACTTCTGTCGATTCCAGTGGGGACGTCACAGGCCTAGGGTACAGCACCTTCTCATAACTCAACTTCTCATAGCTCACTGTTCCAGCAACCAGGACACAAAGTCCCATGTCCCACAGTGAGATTGCCAAAGGGTGAACCATCTGCTGCCAATCTCCAGGATCACTAACCCATTAGGTCCTGGCACATTAACCCATCATCTCCTGCTATAACACTTCTTTTCTGAAGATTGTGGCTCTAAGTGACTCCCTCCCCCCCCCCCCCATGTTCCTGTTCTCTCTCTCTCTCTCTCTCTCTCTCTCTCTCTCTCTCTCTCCCTCCTTCCCTCCCCTTTCCTCTCTCTGATCCTGTCCCATGACTATAGGTAACAGACGAAACTTACTCATTCACTCTGAGCTAGGCATGGTGCTACAGGCTGGGAACACAGTGATAGACAAGTTGTGGTCCTAGCTCTCGAGCTTACACTCTAGCAGGGGACACAGGTGGCCAATTAGCCTATAAATTATTCGTTTTCCATTATAATAACTGCTTAATAACTGCTACAAGAATGAAGCTCTGCGTGTCTACATCAGTGAGACAAGACCAGATCAGGTCTGAGAGTCAGGAAAGCTCTCCCTAAGGAAACAGTAAGGTGTGATGTGCCAAGAACGGAGATGAGGCTGGTCAGGTGATCGGGGGCTTGGAGAAGAATGAGCATGGCTCTCGGGGGCTACAGGTGAGGGTGTCTGTGGGGTCAGTAAGTAGGAGTAGACACCAGGCAAGCTCAAGGATGGAGAAGACGGAGAGAACCCTTGTCTTCACCTTAATCACGAGAAGCGTTGAGCTGATGTTGAAGGATGAGTATAAACTCACCTGAACATTTAGAGCAGCGGTTCTCAACCTATGGGTCGCGACCCCTTTGGGGATCAAACGACCCTTTCACAGGGGTCGCCTAAGACCACCGGAAAACACATATATAATTACATATTGTTTTGTGATTAATCACTATGCTTTAATTATGTTCAATTTGTAACAATGAAATTGGGGGTCACCACAATGTCATGAGGAACTGTATTAAAGGGTCGCGGCATTAGAAAGGTTGAGAACCACTGATTTAGAGGGTTCATTTAAATGTTCTTGAATAGGAAATGTTGGAGTGGAGATCATCCTGGATCTCTGCCTATTCTGCCTCTTCCCAGGAGCCAAAGATATTGCAGAATTTATCATTTACATCCCCTCCACTGCTTATTTAAGGTGAGGAATAACAATAGCAGACATAATTCCTGGTGTGCCCAGTTGAAGTAACAAGGGGCAAAAGTCTGAAAGGAAGAGAGGATAGTGGTGGCAGCCATGTTTTTGTATCAATTGTGGCTACAAAAAAAAAATCAGGCCATAAAGCTGTTATGCCCAGATTTCAAGATTCCCAAGAAACCACATCAGGGAGCCATCCAATCCGATGCAAAAGCATAAGAATCTGTATTCAAGCTAGCTTGGTCTCCCCATCCACCAGGCTCACCGACATCAAGGCAAAACCAAATGGCTGAGTGCCCGAACCCCGCCCAGAGACCGATTATATAGGGGGGGTCGGAGTAAGGGGAGGAGAAAGGACTGTGCTCTGCCGATTGGCCAGGCGCAAGCCGGGTCCTATCATTTACATCCCCTCCACTGCTTATTTAAGGTGAGGAATAACAATAGCAGACATAATTCCTGGTGTGCCCAGTTGAAGTAACAAGGGGCAAAAGTCTGAAAGGAAGAGAGGATAGTGGTGGCAGCCATGTTTTTGTATCAATTGTGGCTACAAAAAAAAAAAAAAAAATCAGGCCATAAAGTCTTATGTAGTGTATGATACCACCCAGCTCTCAGGATGTAGTATCACTGAGGTTAAACATTGCAAGGTTTGGATTCAGAAAACCTGTGTTCAAATCCTCCTTTTCTGCCTCTAGCTATGTGATCAGGGCAACAAACGTTGGGCCTCCATTTCTGCATTTGTAAAATAGCAATTATAATAGTATCTGCTTTTTAGATTGTTGTAACGTAGTGTGTGTAGTTTTTAGCAGCATGCCTGGTACATTCCAATTCTTATTGCTAGTTGTTGTTGTCATTATTATTATTATTATTGACAATATTGAACACCTGGAAGGAAATCCGCATATGTAAAAAAGAATTTAGAGAAACAATTTCCCATTATTTCCCAATTTTCTAAAATAACCATGCGTTGCTATTAACATTAGAAGGGGGGAAAAAGAACCCGAAAACACTTCTGAATAATAGACATTTGACTAATTCATTGTTTCCTGATTCCCCCGCATCATATTGTCCAAGGAGGCCGAGGGAGTGCAGGTTAAAAAGCACAGATTCCTAAGCCCCGACCCAGAACACGTGGATGAGTATCTCTAAGGGATGAACCTGTTAATCTACCCCTTTAATCAGCCCCGCGGATGATTCTTATCATCAGGCACCTAGGGGGATGCTCATTTACAGCAAGGGTTGCAGTGATGGACAGAAAGCCCCCCGCCTGCTTGTTGCGGAAATCACGACGGCCTACGCCTACAAATCCCATACTGCTCCGCAACTGCCCGCGAGCGGGTCCGAGGCCTGCCGGGAGTTGTAGTTCCGGCCCGCCCGCCTTCTTCCTGTAAGAACGCCGGAGATGAGTGCTGCAAACCTCCCGCCCCACAAGGCCTATGCCAAAGGTGACGTCATCGGAGGAGCGCCCGGGATGGAGCGGGCGGCGTTGGCCGCTTATTCCACCACCTCCGCAGCCTCAGAACCTGCCTCCTCCACCTCTTTCTCCGCCTCCGCCCCCCGTTTCCCCGCTGCTGCCCTCTCCTCCCCATCTTCCTTCTCCCCCGCCGCCGCGGGTTCCGGTCCCGCTTCTCCGCCACCTCTGCCCGACCTCTGCCCCTGAGAAGCAGCCGCATTGGGTCTCCCTCGCGGGCCCGGGGCGCAGGCATGGCGGGACGGCGGCGGCGGGGTCGCGGGGAGCGGCGGCGCGGGCCCGGCCTCGTCGGGGGCGGGGACGGCCGGGGCGGGCGGCGGGGGGAGCGGCGGCCCCATCAACCCGGCCTCGCTGCCTCCCGGGGACCCTCAGCTCATCGCGCTCATCGTGGAGCAACTCAAGAGCCGCGGCCTGTTTGACAGCTTCCGCCGGGACTGCCTGGCCGACGTGGACACCAAGGTACTGAGGCCGCCTGGACCGAACGGGACCGGGCCCGGGACCGGCGGAGGCCGCCCGGGTAGCAGCTTTGCATTTCCAAAGCCGAGAGGAAAACAAAAGATGCATCTGAAAATCCCAGCGGGGAGGTTAGGCCGCTGGGGGCAGCACCGGGCGCCTGCGGAGCGATGCGCACGTGGGTCGGGCTCCCAGCCCCGCCGGTGAGCTGTGCGATGGAGCCCGGTCCGGGGCTTCTCCGAACTTGGGGTTTCGGTACTGGTGCTAGAGCCTGCACCCTCGCTTTGCCCAGAATGGGAGTCTGTAAGCCTCTCTAACAAACCTCGCCGTGTTCGTAGCGGGGAAAGCCAGGTAAACAAGCGAGGAAGGTGTGGGCGCCCTCACCGGAGCTGCCGGTTCCCTGTTCTCAGCTCCGCGAGGCGGACTTCGCGCACGCGGCTGCGTGAAGGCACCTGGCGGAGAGCCGGCACCCTGCTCTGTGCTCCCTCGCTGGCCAAAGGGCATCTGGTGCCTATTTTCCATCCTCATGCCATAGGTCAACTCCCAATAAAATGCTCCCTCACTTGACCTGGCTGCCAAGGTCCTCCCTTTGGTTACTAGCAGCTCCTGAGTGTGTCTTACTCTAGCCTCCGCCCTTTTATCTTCCTCCGCCAGGAAGGGACTCTCTCAGCTCCAGTTTTTAAAAAAAAATCCCAGGGAATGTTTGCATTGCCTGCCTTAGCGTGGGTCAGCCGCCCGCTGCTGTGGCCGGGAACGCGGCGCCCACTGCCCTACTCTGGTCTAGACGGGAAGGTGGGCGCCAGGAAAAAGGAGCTGCTAGGCAGATAATACCTGAGAATTTTAACTCCATCGTCTCCCTGCCTTCCAGAGTCTTTGTGTCTGTGAGTCCGTTTTCTTGGCCTGTTGGAAGAGTCCACTCGTGGAGTGGAGGCCTGCTGATGCTTTTGGCGTTTCATTTATCTGGTTGTGAGCAAACTTTGGCCACAGTGACACTACGTATTAAACCAAATCTGTGTGGCTTATCACAAGCATTTGTTCTGCTATAGGGCTGTGTGTCCCCAGAGCTCAGCTGGTCTGGGTAGGTGTTAGCTGGTGACCCAGCTCTAGGCTGCAGGTTGCCAAGGCTGGGATCTAGCTATGGGTTAGGGTTAGGTCTGCAGCACGTATACTCATTCTAAGTCCCAGACTAAAGGTCCAGGGGCTGCCGAGGACATGGGTGTCCTGGAGGGTCATCGGGGCACGAGAGCCACTAAGATTCCATTGACCAGAGCAAATCAGGGCGCTAAGCTCGGCACCACTGGGGGAGGGGCGAGCGGTGCACGGATTACACCTGGTTTGGAGAGGAGCAGCTGGCGGTGCCAGCCGTTTCTGGAGGCTCAGAGCTTGCATTCCTTGTGTTCACCAAGTCTCTCTCGTTTTGTTCTGACGCAGCTGGTCTAGAATCAGTAAGGGCCTCTCCGCTCCTTTTTGGATATTCTGTGCCTCCCCCAGTGTTCCGTGGGCTTTGACTTCAGTCACGTTCCTGTGTCCGGCTGAGGGTGGGGGGCCCTTCGCTGGGAGCAAAGGCTTTCCTGAGCCTTGTTGCTGAGAACACCCCGAGAGCGAGGTGGGCGGGAACAGCCGTTTTCCAGTTGGCAATGACTTCGAGTCAGGTTGTGGGGCTCGTTGAAGTCAAAGAGCTGGTAAGCGATGGAGCCGGCCTAGAACCCAGCCCTTTGGTTCGGAAAGAGCCTGGGTCTGGCCTGTGGGCAAGCTGTTAACTTTGTCTCAGCCTAAATTCCCCCCCTAAAGGGGGCAGGCGCGGGCTCATAGGCCCCCCTGCCAGAGAGTTACTGGAAACGTGAGTGCGATAACAAAGCATCTGGCCCGGGCCCGCCGTGAGGAAGCGGGCACTCGTTGGCATTAACTCGCGCTCTGCCTGCTGCACGACCATAGAATGCAGTGAAGAACCTGAAAGTCCGTGTCTGTGAAAGCCGTGTTCTGAACGACGTGACCAAGTGTCGGTGCGTGTAACTGCTGACCTTGCCCTTCTTTCTGACCTTGTAGCCAGCGTACCAGAACCTGAGGCAGAAAGTGGATAATTTTGTGTCAACACATCTGGACAAGCAGGAGTGGAACCCGACGATGAACAAGAACCAGCTGCGGAACGGCCTGCGCCAGAGCGTGGTTCAGTAAGTACGCGGGACTGAGAGCGAGAGGCGGTAACGCGGGGCCGACACGTGGAGGCCGGTGAGGTCACTGTCCGGTCCAGGTGGACGGCGGCTCCATAGGAGCTGCAGCAGACTGCTCCTTTATTAAAACTCACGTTCAAGGACGCGCAGAACTCGGCTGAAATTCTTGCTGGTTTCTCCACCTGCGGAGGCTTCCTGTGCACATCCCTACGGTGCATCCAAAGTCACTCCAGCTGGGTTGGGCACGGAGATATTTTTCCATTGATTTTTAGAGAGAGTGGGAGAGAGAGGGAAAGACAGAGAGAAACATCGGTGTGAGAGAAACACATTGATTGGTTGCCTCCTGCACGCGCCCTAACCAGGGCCTGGGCCAGGGAGGAGCCTGCAACCCAGGTACGTGACCTTGACTGGAATCAAACCCAGGACTCTTAGGTCTGCGTCCGACACTATCCACTGAGCCAAGCCGGTAGGGCTGTCTGTGATTCTTGTTAACATTTTGAATTTGAGGCAAATTCTAATGCCATTCTGGAATGAAGATTTGCTACTTGGGCCTGGAGTGTTGTCACCAGTGAGACCCTGCAGCCCCAGCACCGGCCGCTGGCTGGCCGTTCAGGCCCAGAAGCTGGGTCCCAGGTCCACAGCGTGGAAGGCTTCGCAGGCATCGGGCTCTGCTGTTGAACCTAATTGTGACCAAGCCTTTCTCTACGTGGTATCTGCCCATTTCCCTGCTGCGTTAGGCTCCATCTCCAGGAAAGCGAGCCGCTCTGGCTTCCCCTGATCAGGCGGCCACACCTGTGAATCTGCCGGAGGTGGGGTGCAGTGGGAAAGTGATGAGCTTGTGACTAGGGAGGGGTGCCTGGCGCGACACACGGTGTCTCGAGCTCCGCTTGGAGGGCACGCGCTGCCTGACGCGGTCTCCCTGAGGGTGCCCGGCTCTAATGGCGATGTGTTACACCCAGGCTTCCTGTCGATAAGCTGTCCCCCACTCACCCCTCCACCCCCCCAGGCCAGGGCGCACTTTGCCACCACTCAGCCTCAGGGCCCAGGGCCTGTGTCTCGTCTCACTGGTCGCTGTGGCGTCCTCTCGTTCGTTTCCTGGCCCCTCTGCCCAGTCACTGCAGGACCTGTTCTACCCAAGCAAAGGCTTGCCTGGCCCAAGCGCGCTCACGTCTAAAGGAAGAGAAGTAGAGCTTCCCATGTGCTCTTGGTATTCGCATATTTCAGTCCTTGGGAAACACTTTGGTTTGAACCTCCATGGGCTCTTTTCCAAACTTTTCAAATGTGATGTGTTTCCTGTCACCATATCTTTCTCATTACGTGCCAAAAATTTTGGCTAATTTTTGCTCTACTCATAAAGGAGTTGGGGTGGATTTTAGCCCCTTAGGAGCTCAGAACCAGTTTGTTTCCTGTTTACAAGTCCCTAGTGTGTGTGCTAGGTCACAGCCACAGCCGCGGGCCCCGGGGGACTGTGGGACGTGCATTGGCTGGAGTAGCCAGGTTGCTGCGGGAGGCTCCTGCTTCCGTCAGAGAACAGACGTGAAGGAGATGGAGCCGCGGGGGAGGCTCGCGGGCTCTGGCAGCACGATGACGGTTTCAGCTCTGCCCGTCACCAAGTCCCTTTCACTCTCTGGGTCAGGCCTTTGCGCGTGGTCCCTGCACAGGGCGGAGGTGGCAGTGGAGGAGACTGAGTCAGGCGCGATGGTAGCTTCTGGTGGGGAGCTGCTGCTCTAAAGTGGAAACACAGCAACTTGAACTCTGAGCTAATGGGTCTCCTTGGAAAGAACTCCCTGGAGTAGCTGCAGCTTTGACCAGGGGGGTGTTTGCTGGGCTCCCACATGACACTGCTGGGGACGAAAGGTCTCAGAGTGACTGAGTAACAATGATCTCTGTGTCTCCACAAGGTCAGGGATGTTGGAAGCTGGAGTGGACAGAATCATTTCTCAGGTGGTGGATCCCAAACTGAACCACATCTTCAGGCCACAGATAGAGCGAGCCATCCATGAGTTCCTGGCGGCCAAGAAGAAAGAAGCCGCTCCAGCGCCCCCGCCAGAGCCGGAGAGCCAGGACGCCTCGGGCCCCGCCCAGGACGCCTCCTAAGGTCCGTATTGTGCTAGTGCAGCCAGTCGTCTCTGACTTACAGACAGCGAGTGGGTGATGGAGGGGAGCCGTCACTGGGGAGCCGTCTTGTCTGCAGAGAAGTATGAGCAGATGGGCCTCACCAACAACCACTTAGTCCTTTCACTGCGCGCTGAGGAGTAGCGTCTTCCCGAGTCAGTGAGGAGTCTGTGCCCCGGAGCCCAGGGTCCCAGCTGCGAGGAGGCGCTGCCTTAGGCACCCGCTGGGGTGGCTGGGGTGCCCCAGGGAAATTCAAATGAGAGTCCCTGCTTTTCTGAAATTGCTTAAATGTGGGTTTGCAATTTGGATATAAAATCAAGCAGTGCATTCAAAGGCGGCCTCGCCCTAAATGGGCTGAAGTCTGCTTGAAACGCTGCTGGCTGTCCTGTGGTTAAAGGGAACTGCGTGCCACTGTCAGTTACCAGGGCTCTTCTGGGCAGCGCACCCTCTTTATTACCTTTGGGACTGAATGTTTAAAATCGTCTGTGGATGCACAAAGCACTGCTCCTTCAGGGTCTGAGCTGTGGCAGCAGTGGACTTGCACTTGGCCGTTGTTGGGGACCCCTGGACTTCCTCGCCCTCACTCTGCTTCAGGTCCTGTTTGTAAGGTTCCTCGGGGTGTCTGTTATTTTTGAGAAGCATCAGCGAATGAACAAGCGGGAGCACCAGGCTCGCATGGGGCACTTGGGCAAGAGCAGAGCTGCCTTTGGTGCCCATGTGGGAGCCACCATGCCACGGGCGTAAACAGTCCCCTCACGCCCTCCTGGTCTAACTAAATTCCTTTAGGAACAGAAACCTCGGTCAGTGTCATCTCATCAGTAAGCATTTTGATAGACTCTCTTCTTTTTAGACGATGCCTGGCATCTTCTGGAAGCTCCACTGAACAGTGGTGAAGTGGACTCAGTTCATAACGGTACGGCTTCAGACGGAGACAGGCCAAGGTCGTCGCTGATTTCACCTTTGACTTTGGGCTGTGGTCCACGCTGATCGGGGAGCAAGTTTGGCGGCAGGAATGCTGGCCTGTGTGCCCCTGCCACATGGCCAGCCCGTCCCAGGGACCACACCAGCAGACACTACAGAGAACTAAAGAAACACTACATCAACCAGGGTTGTCCTGAAACAGACCTTTATACTTGAACTTGGACTCTGCGTGTGGGCTCTAGGGTTTGTGCTCGGGGGAAAACAAAAGCTGCAATGGAGGAAGGTGAGCGGTCCCACGGGGGCAGCTCCTGGGAAGGGCCGCGGTGAGCTGGGAGGGGTCTGTGGCCGGGCTTGTTGGCATTGCTTCTCAGAGTTGCAGACTAGAGTGTACAAGCCGTGCGCATCGAACGGCTTTAAAGTTGTTGTGACCCTCTTGTGCGTGAACCTTGTCGCTTCAGTGTCCTTTCCCCGAAGCGGCGACCAGCGCGACCCCACAATGCAGGTCACCCCGACACTAGTAAAGGGAAGGTTTGCAGGCTCCCTGTCCAGGGCTGGTTCCTGCCCTGCCAGGATAGGAGGTCTTGGGTGTGTTTATTGTATTCTCATGTTTGCGTTTTTAGAAAGTGGATGGTTAATAAATAGCCTAAGTTTTATAATAAAATCATTTGATACTCTTACTCTGAGGCTCCCACTAAATCTTAGACCCCAGGTCCGAAAGGTAAACCTTCCCCCGCCCACGTGTCACTCCTGTGCACAGCGCGTGACGTCGGCGGGGAAGGGTCGGAAGAAGTAACGTGAACTGTCGTCGCCCTGAAGCCGCAGGCGCAGGTGGACGTGGTGGGCAGGTCCTCCCCTCCCCTGGACCAGTTAGTGCTGGTCTGCACCTGAGGGCACTGCCTTATCTTCATGTTTCTCAGACTTGAAAGTGCAGGAGGATCACCCAGGAATCTTGGAAAAATGCAAATTCTAGTGAAAAATTTCTGGGTCGGATCTGGGCGTGTGTCTAACAAGCTGGTGATGCTGAGGCTGCTGGTGCTCTGCAGCACAGTGCCCCCCCCCCCCCCCCCCCTGCCCTGGGTCTTCGGTTCTTAGTTGAGTCCGCTACTGGATATTATTAACCTAATAACCTATCACCTGCAGAAATCCTAACTTAACATCATCAATCGGTTCTCGGAAACTATAACATGAAGCAAAACGAAATATGGCAAAATCCGTCCTACCATCGGCTAATTGGTATACACAAGAGCTTAGTTCCCATGGCATCCTGGTCACAGAAACATCACCAAACTTCTACATAAAAGACCCAAAACACTGCTAATATTAAAGAAACAAATGCGAGCTATATGTACCTTTAAAAATGATGAACAGAAGCAAGACCATTATTTCCCAACCTGCTTATTCTAGTCCAGGGTCGGCCACAGGTGGCCAGTGTCCTGGCAGCTTGGAGGCAGCCCCGCCCTGCACAGGACATTGTGTTTCTATGTCAGGAGTCACATAGACCAGAGATGATTTCATCTGAAATGGTTATCAGATCCAGAAGTCACTACAGACACCGCTGTTGGCACAGAGGACTGACTTTCGGGCTCAGGTGAGCCCAACTGGAAGGAAGTAGTGCGTGCCCGTAACACCTTGAGTAAAAGTAGTTTCATTGTCAGGCTGGGGAGGGGAGTCAAGACCAACGGCACTAGGGGAGCTGACAGAGGTTTTCTCTGAACTCCCCTTATCTGCCTAAGGACAGATCCTCCAAAAGGAACTGAATTGTCATTAATTCTCCTTCTGGGAGTTTCATCAACCAGAGAAGATTGACTTATTACAGGAGAGGAGACCAGAAGTCCACACCACACCCAGACAAACTCTCACATACTATCATATCCCCCATCTACTCAAGGGCCCATTTGTCTTTCCTAAAAGTCATTTACTCTCCCCAAAGTGCCTACACATCCCCCTTCCTCCTTCCTAATTAAGATGGTATTTAAGCCAGAGTTCTAAGCCACCTCAGAGAGTTCCTCATTTTTCCCTGGGTATCTCCCACATATACATGAGGGACACATGTTTAATAAACTGTTACTCTGTTGTTCATGTTTTCCTCTTGTTAATTTGTCTTTTATTACAAGAGTCTCAGGTAAGAACTCTGTAGGGAGAATTATTTTTGTTCTACAACAGCAAGAGATTGGATGTGGCAGAAGCTAAACCAAGTATCAGAGGCTGAATGTGGTCAAGTTTTATCCAGCACGCGATGTGGAACAGCAGTTGGGTAAAATCTTGAGTCTGTGGGGCTTCTGTGAGAAATGAGGTGTTACACTTTGTTCTCCCTGAGCCCTTTTGTCCAGCTGAAAAGTCTGCCTGGGCTTGGCACCCTTCATCTGATCACTGCATGGAGGCTCTGTCACATACGGCTTCTCTACATTCCTTTCTTGCTGTGCAGGTCCCCAATCATTCACTTACCCAACGTTACAAGTCCTCAACTATCTGGGCTTGCCTTCTCCCCTTTAATTTCTGCTTACACAATGGAGCTCTTTTCTGAGTTCACCTCTTTCCTGTAAGGCCTTGCCAATCACAGGCAATACCACCATAACACACTGCCAACACTCTACTTCCCAACCTCTTCCCTAATGGCCACTAGTTCGTTAGGCCCATGATCTGCCCCCAAGTTACTGCTGCCCAGTCCCTATCGCTTCTCGCCCAGCCCCACCTGGTGGCTCAGAGACTACTTGTAACCTTTGACCTATCCCTACTTCAGGGTCACACAGTATGAAGTGACAGCCCCTTCCTGAAGGAACCAGCCAGAGGATGGTAACGATGAAGAGAAGAAAGGGCTGAAGCAGTGAATCCATGGCCTGGGACAGCACCTGCCCGCTGGAGCCGGTGGCCTGGCTGACTCCGGGCTTGGCTACACCAGCAAACAGAGGGGCCACCTCCCGGATTGGGGGCCAGGCTGGTCCTCTGTGTTCTCTATTCACACCGTTATCATCACCCGCCCCTCTGCTGGTGTCTCTTGCTGTGGCTCAGTGTCAGCCACGGTGGTGGCAGCTGCCTGTCTCTGGTGCCTGCCCGGGGCTCATTCCTCATACACCAGTCAGATTGCCCCGGACGTACCCACCAAATCGGGTCTAAGTCCATGCAGCCCTTTTCATGAGCTGTGGCAACTAACAGAAACTCACTTATCTACACTAATAAAAGAGAAAAATGGTAATTGGCATACGACCGCTACCCTTCCCATTGGCTAATCAGCGTATCCTTATGCAAATTAACACTTGGAGTGCGGGTGAATTTCCCGCCAAAATATAAGATGGCTCTGTCTTTTGGTTTTGTTCCATCCACCAAAAGGGTGGATTACAAACAAATATTTGGTAATACGCAGTTACAATCGGCCCGAGTTTACACGTTTCCCGCACTCCACCGCAAATCTATATGAACCGAGTTAAAGACGGCTCCCGCGGAGTACGCGCAATTCACGCGAGCCGACTTAACTCGTTTCCCGCACTCCAAGTGCTAACTGTCAGCCAAGATGGCGGCCTGCAGCCAGGCAGCTGGAAGCGAACATGAGGCTTGCTTGCTGCGGACTCCAACGTTCCCCGCCTGCCTTGCAGGCCTCTGAGCCGGCAGTTTGAAACATTCTAACAAATATAGAAGCTAAACAAACGGCCGGGATCTCAGAGCTGAAGTTATACATTGTTTCGATTATAGAACGCAAACAAACCAGCGGAAGCCTCAGAGCTAGAGCCAGAGCTAAAGCTGGCCCAGAATAAAAAAAAAAGAAGAAAAGGAGCGGTTGGGAGCTTCAGTCAAAACCGCCAACCTGAAAGCAGCCCTCAGCCCCTCACCCAGACTGGCCAGGCACCCCAGTGGGGACCCCACCCTGAAGTGTGTGTGACCAGCTGCAAACAGCCATCATCCCCTCATCCAGGCTGGCCAGGCACCCCAGTGGGGACCCCCACCCTGATCCAGGACACCCTTTAGGGCAAACCAGCCGGCCCCCAGGCCTCTATCCTATATAGTAAAAGGGTAATATGCCTCCCAGCACCGGGATCAGCAGAGCCGCGAGGCCTCCTGGCACAGGATCAGCGTGACAGAGGGCAGCGCCCAAACCTCCTGATCGCCCTGCGGCTCCGTGTGTGACAGGGGGCGGAGCCACAACCTCCCTATCCACCCTGCTCTGTTCGTGACAGGGGAAGACGCCCCAACCCCCTGATCAGCCCTGCTCTGTGCCTGATAGGGGGGAGCTCCCCAACCCCCTGATTGCCCTGCGGCTCTGTGTGTGACAGGGTGCAGCACCCCAACCCCCCACTCCCTACGGGCCCTGCTCTGTGTGTCACAGGGTAGAGCCATAACCTCTCCATCGGCCCTGCCCTGAGTGTGACAGTGGCGGCGCCCCAACCCCTATTGGCCCTGCTCTGTGGGTGATAGAGGGTGGCACCCCAACCCCCCTCCACGGGCCTTGCTCTGTGTATGACAGGGTAGAGCCATAACCTCCCCATTGGCCCTGCCCTGAGTGTGACAGGGTACAGCACCCCAACCCCCTGATCTGCCCTGCTCTGTGTGTGACAGGGGGTGGCGCTGCAACCTCCCCATTGACCCTGCCTTGAGTGTGACAGGGGGCGGTGCCCCAACCCCCCAATTGGCCCTACCCTGAGCGTGACTGAGGGTGGCATCGCAACCTCTCGATCCGCCCTGCTCTGTGCATGACGAGGTGGCGCCCCAACTCCCCAATCGGCCCTGCTCTGAGCCTGACCAGGGGCTGCACCTAGGGATTGGGCCTGCCCTCTGCCACCCGGGAGCAGGCCTAAGCCAGCAGGTCGTTATCTTCCGAGGGGTCCCAGACTGCGCAAAGGCACAGGCCGGGCTGGGGGACCCGCCCCCCCCCCCCCCAGTGCACAAATTTTTGTGCACCAGGCCTCTAGTCCTATATAATAAAAGGCTAATATGCAAATAGACCGAACGGCAGAACGACTGGTCGCTATGACACACACTGACCACCAGGGGAAAGACGCTCAATGCAGGAGCTCCCCCTGGTGGTCAGTGCGCTCCCACAGGGGGAGCTCCGCTTATCCAGAAGCCGGACTCGGCTAGTGAGCGCAATGGTGGTGGTGGGAGCCTCTCCTGCCTCCACAGCAGTGCTAAGGATGTCCAACTGATGGTGTAGGCCCGCTCCCCATGGACATTCCCTGCGGCTCCCGGACTGCGAGAGGGCGCAGGCCAGGCTGAGGGACACACCCCTCCCCCGAGTGCATGAATTTTGTGCACCGGGCCTCTAGTATTCCATAAATTATTAATGTTAGGATTGTACTGGTTTCCACTCCAAGCACAAATCCCTGCATAAATGCTTGGGCAAGGGAGGATGAAAACACAGTGGACATTATTGGATCAAATCTCCACAAAGGAGCGTTGTCACATGTCATCCTCATGAAGCCTGTGCTGGGAACACCTGGTCTGCCGGTGACCTGGACACCCAGGACCACTTCCATCTGCCCTGGACCAGCCTCCCACCTCCCCACGTCGCTGGGGACGACGTTGGCACAGCCACTGCTGGGAAAGTGGCCCTTGATTATCAGCAGAGTCCTCAGCTCCAAACCCTGACTGAGCTCTGGGAGACCAGCTGGACCGCACAGGGGCTGGGTCTACCCAAGCCGGTTCCCGGATGGCGGGCCCGCTGTCCTAGATACACGGGAGAGGGAAC